TACAGTCAGGCCTACCGAAGCAGTTTTGGACAGAAGCAGTCAACAGAGCAGCTTACTTGATCAATCAAGGTCCATCAGTTTTATTGGAGCACATAATACCATAGGTGGTATGGTCCAGAAAGGAGGTAAAACTCTCATATCTGAAAGTTTTCGGTTGTGTAGCTTATGTGTATATTAGTGATCAAGACAGGAATAAGCTTGATCCCAAGTCTAAGAAATACACTTTCATCGGCTATGGTGAAGATGAGTTCAGCTACTGCATTTGGGATAATAAAAACAAAAAAGTGATCCGCAACATAGATGTGATATTCAATGAGAATGTGATGTACAAGGACATGCACAAGAGAAATATCTTTGACTCAGAGGAGAGCGAGTCAACATTTAGAGATGCAGATGATGTCCTAAGTCACCTCTTAGAAGAACCCAAGCTATAAGAGCCTATTGGACAGAATGGTGCGCAGGAACCCGATGCACCAGCTCTGATATTAAGAAGAACTTCTCGTCCTCCTGTACCTAACAGCAGATATATAAATTATATGTTGCTGACAGATGGAGAGGAGCCTGAAAGCTATGATGAAGCTTGTCAGAGTGGAGATGCGAGCAAGTAAGAGTTTGCCATGAAAGAAGAGATGAAATCTCTGATCTCCAACCAGACATGGAAACTAGTTGAGTTGCCCATGGGGAAGAAGGCATATCACAACAAGTGGGTGTATCGAGTGAAAAAGGAACATGATGGTTCCAGAAGATACAAAGCCCGACAAGTTGTCAAATGATTTCAACAGAAGATCCAAGAAAATAAAAATCAAGCGGATATGTTGACAAAGGTAGCAACCTTTTAGAAACTGGAGTTGTGTGCAACTTCAGTTGGCCTTCATGCATAGGTGATGAAGGTAGAGCCACACAAGAAAAGGTGCATGTTGAGATAGTCTATTGAATACGGTTTAGTCTTTAAGTGGGAGATTGTTGGATTTGGGTGTAGATCCAAACCTCTGCAGGCGAGGTCGGAGCTTTAGGCGAGGGCGAGCTCCAGTCGACGAGGTCGAGGTGAGTGGGCGAGGTCCAAAAGTAGGCAAGCTCGAGTCGAGTTGATTCAGGCTAGCTCGATATTGAGGCGACCCCTTGCAAGTGAGCTCGAGGGCTTCAGGCGAGGTCGTCGAGCACTGCAGGCGAGCTCGAGATCCAGGCAAGCTCGAGTCCTCGTGCTTCAGGCGAGGATGAGCATGGTTCAGGCAAGGTTGAGGCATAGTCGAGCTTTTACGCCCGCAGGCGAGGTCGAACACCTGCATGGCTAGTGACATCCTATCATTTGGGTTCCCCTATAAAAGGGAACCCATACCCGAGATCTGCTATTCTTCTCATTTCTCTTCCAGCGGTGACGACTCTCTCTCTCCTCTCGCGATTTCAAACCCTAGGCGGCGCGATGACTC